ACATACTTTACCTTCCGATGATGATTTAAAAAAATTTAATTTGTGGTAAATTTGCGGTCATTCATTGCAACTCAAATCCCACAATTTTTCACGCACACACGCACATTGTGATTCATTATTATTATTATTAACCGCAATAATTTCATCGTGAAATACTTGTTTGAAAGTCACTAATCATTGGGACCTGCCCCATGTCATTTCATTTTGTATCCATTTATTATAATTTAATATTTATTATTATTATTATTAATCATATTTTAAATACCGAGCTTTGAATTTTATGCTTTTTTCAAATATCGTTTGTTACTTTTCGACTTCCTTTGAATTCATTGTTTGTTTTCCGAGATCTGAAATAAAAAAAAAAAAAATGTACTTATTTTTCATTATTATTATTATTATTGGTTAAATGATTGTAATAACGTACCGATCATTATTAGCATAAAACGAAGATGATTTCTTGTAAGGTTCATCATATCAAATGATTTATGACGACGCAGACGATTTCATTCAAATCACATCATTTACATCGATAATCATTTAGACAGTCGAGGTGTTATGATGACGTTTAACATAGAGTTGCAATTCAAATGGAATGTTTTGGAAAAATGCAAACCTGTCATTATTATTATTATTATTATTTTTCCATTGATACTCGGAGTAGTTTTTGAGATAAACGACGATGGCGAGGGGTGCTAAAACTCCCTTCTGTAAAAAAAAAAAACGAAATTAGACAGTCATAAGTTAAGGGTTGTATTGTAAAACTAAAATTCTCTACTCGGAAAAAGTGTGCCAAGTTAAACGAGCTCGTATCCCCCCCCTCTCCCAATATTAATGTATTTAATTAATAATGATGATAACATGAGTAAGAAAATTTCATATCATTTCTCGCGAAAAGTACATTGAAAAGTTTTAAGTTTTCCCGGGAATTTGAAAATTGTAAAATTAAAAACCAGGGATTTTATCACAAAATATTAATTTGTTAACTGGAAAAATTTTTAACCACGGGGAAAAATATTTCTCGAATGGGTTGCTTGACCGGATCCGCCTTGATTTTAATTAATTTCGTGGGTGTTTATAATAAGTACGTTTTTATAACTACCGGAAAATCCGTCGTTGACCTCACTTTCACTTCAATGAATTCTTCTCAACAGCAAATATGTGAATGTCAAGTCCTTTTAATAAATAACGAGGAGAGTTTTTTTAGTGTTATCATGTTCATTTTTTTACATTTGAGTACACATTCTATAATTCTTTAATTTTAAAAACCTGGAAGATCTGGATCTGAAAAAAAAATCAAATTAATAAATTAATTTTATAAAGGCTTTTATAAACTTATAATAAAAACAATTTCTAAATTTTTCAAGCTCTCGATTTTATATATATATATATATATATATATATTATTATCATCATTATCATCATCATCATTTTTTTTCTGCTTTCAAATGTCGAAACTTTAAAAAAAATTTTTGCAAAAAAAAAAAAAACCTAAACGAATAATTATTCATAAACTAATGGTGGTGGAAATGATAAGTTTGTCGTGGAAAAGAGAGAAAGGAGAGAAAGAGAAGAGAGAGAGAGAGAGAGAGAGAAAGAGAGAGATAGAGAAAGAAAGAGAGAAAAAGAAGGAAAAAAAAAGAAAAATTTTAAGTAATTTGAAAAAAAAACACAATTTAAAAAATAAATTTTTAAACGTGCTCACTTCAAACATAACGATAATAATAATAATAAATAAATTAATAAATTAATAATAATAATAATAATAATAATAAATTAATAATAATAATAATAATAATAATAATAATAATAATAATAATAATAATGACAGTAGTAATTAATAAAAATGTCGATAAGAACGTCGTCTGTCGTTTTGAAATTTTCTTTTTAATTCATTCCGATAACTGGAAAACCTATAAGTTCATCTCACTCAGACACGTACAAAAAAAAAAAAATTTTTTTTTCTTTCTCTCTCTCTCTCTCTCACACTCTTAATGACGTCATTTGGCAAATCAAGATAAATAATATGTTATAATATAAGAAGTACATCACCGCGGATGCCAATCAATTTATATTGTTCGATTCCCATATATATATATATATATATATACACACAGACATACATATATAATATTTTATCCATAAAGAAAAAACGTCAGTTCGCTTTTCCATCTTCTCCAGATAAGTTCGGTAAGTTTTCCGATAGTCGGTCGCGATTTATTTAACGCTTTAAATTAATAATAATAATAATAATTTTGTTCGGAGTGAATTTTTTTCTTATTTTTTTTAATAAATTGATTCAACTTACGTAAAAATAAAAAAAATTTTTTTTTATTTTTTTTTTTCTTTAAATCGCAGGTTAGGAGAGAGAGAACAAAAAAAAAAAGAAAAAAATGTTTTCCATCTCTGTCGTCGATTTGTTATTTAGTTTAACTTTTCTGATGATCATCATCACTGGCGATAGTCAAGGAATGATAATTAATAATAACGGACCCGAACAGGTGAGTCTAAAAAACAATAATAATAATAATTATTATTAATTGGAATCAATAATTAATTAATTAATTAATTAATTAATTTGTTTATTGTTGGTTCCTTATCATTTAACCTGAATGAATGCCTTATTACACACACACACACACTCATTTATTTTTTCTTTATTTTTTAACTGATAAGAACTTTTTTTTTTAAAATACAAATTAATTATTATTATTATTATTATTCGACACGATTCGAATAATCGAATGATTTGTAACAAATTAACGACACGAGTGAGAAGAAAAAAAAAAAACATTTTCATTCACAACTTGTTTTGTAATTTATAAAATAATTTCTCTCTCTCTCTCTCTCTCTCTCTCTCTCATTTCTACGCAGTTTATCAAATCGTTACATTTTTATTTATGTTAAAAAACATTAATATTTTTTTTAAAAACGACCACACACACAGATTTATATAAATTTTTAAAAAAATTTAATTTAATTCAAATAAAAATTTAAAAAAATCATTATAATTATCATCATTATCACATTATTATTGTTATTAATTAAAAATGTACAAAACAATATAGTAGTTTGTGTAATTTAATTAATTTATATTGATTTACTGTTTTTGTGTGGAAAATTTAATTTAAAAAAAAGAGAGAGAGAGAGAGAGAGAGAGTGTGTGTGTGTGTGTGAGAAAAAGAAAAAAGTCGGTCATTTATATATTATGATTTTGTAATTCCTTGAACTCTACATAAATGCATTCGAATCGGTTTTCAATAATAAACATTTCCTATACACTTAATCAGCGTTGTTTAATTCCATTTAAATTGTTTGACGAGTCAAAAAAAAATTTTTTAAATGTATTTGATTGTACCTGTTTGTCATTTGTCCTAATAACAAAAAAAAATCACGCCACATTTTTTTTTTTTCAAATCGTACGATATTTCCTAAATCGAATGACGCTCACATGTCGAAAAATAACACATGACAAAATTCTTGTTGTATTCTTGATATTTATTATTATTATTATATATTTAGAATTGCTTGTTCGGCAAATAAATTAAAAAAAGACAAACAAACAAACGAATGGATGACCTGATGTTAAACTAAAAAAAAATTAGTCTATAATGTAACTTGATGATGATCAAGTCAAAAATTTAATTTAATTCTATTTAATTAATATTATTATTAATATACCCACCTGAATTTACGAATTCCAATTGAAATCATAGTTAAATTAATAATTTTTCAATTCGTTTTTACGGTTTTCGAACGTGGGAAAACGTTTTCATCAAATTTTTTTTGTCATGAAATTTTCAATAAAAACCGTTACGTTTCGAACAATCTAGAAAAACTTACAACGAAAAAACTTGATCATTTTCCTGCTCTTATTTTCCTACAATCGATCGTGTAAATATTGAGAAATGATATTTTACATCAATAATTAATTAATTAACGTTAAGATTTATATATAAAAAAAAACAAAAAGAAATTGTAAATATAATAATTTTTACCGGTAATTAAAAATTTTTTTTTTTTTTACTCGTTCGTCGCCATATTTGAATTCCTATTCTTAATTTTTGAAAATTAACAAAAGCGACCTCTATAATATAATTCAATTAATTGTCGATAGAGTGCATTGTAACGAGTTTTTATTTTTTAACGGAAATTACTGCAATTAAAATTTGAATTTTTCAATCTTCGTTAATTATTTAAAAAATTCGTTTCGAATCTTCAATTTTACGGAAAAAAAATGAAAAAAAGTAAAAAAATGTCAACAAAACAACATCTACAATTTTTCTTTTTTGAAAAGAAATCAAAAGGTAAATAAAATAAAAATCATTTCTGTATTCTGTCTGTAACGGTAATTAAGTCGTACCATCAAAATGTATGCATATTCTGTACAAAGAAAATGGCGACTAAATATATTTAAAAAAATTTAATGTATGATAATTCATTTAAAAAGAATTTTTTAATAAAATTATTAAAAAAAGAATGAAAACGACTGAGAACATGATTTAAATGAGTTATCATACACTACGAAACGATTTCATTTTAATAAATTAATCATAATAATAATAATAATAAAAATCCTCAAAATGAAAAAAAAAAAACTTTAAGTGGGGCCCCTCCATCATAAATGATAACGACGATTCCAAAATACAAACAAACAAACAAATTATTATCATCATCGCGATAAAAAAAATTTTTTTTTCCATAACGAACGAAAAAACGCCCTTCAAAATCCAAAAACGAAAAAGAATATAAATAATTTTTAAAAAAAAAAAAAAAAAGATGGCGGTATCGACGTAAAATAAATAATACATGATGAATAATTTTTTTTCGATAATATTTTTTATAAATGATTTCTAATTAAAATATATAAAAAAAAATAAACGCAAAAAAAAAAATTTTTCATTCGTCGTTTGTCCCGCCATATTTTTCCTTTTTTGGGGGGAGTCGAAAAGTAATAATAATAATAATAATAATGAACTGTTTTCCAGGTCGACAATAACGTAATGAATAATTCTCCACCGGCTCGCATAAGCGGTTTTAGAGCAAAAGACTGGATAAAAATATCTCGAGCACCTTCACAGGTTATCAACACTCAATTGGGTGATAAAGTCGAACTCGAATGTGAGGTTCTAGGTAGTCCAGCACCTGAAATTCAATGGTATAAAGGTAGCCAATTGATTCAAGAGGTAATTTAAACGTTTTGTCAGGTCTTTGACTTTCTTTCCAAGTAAAAACAAATCGAAAAAAGTTTTCTGGTTTACCGACAGACTGAAAGAAGCGTTCTTAACAACGAGCTACAAGATTCGTACCACGACAAAGCAGGTTTGGCTAAAATCAAATCCAGGTTCATCATAGATTGCGTCACGTCGAATCACGGTGGTTTTTACACGTGCGTTGCAAGAGCCGGTGTTAAAAAAATAAAATCCGAACCGAGTTTGCTACTTATTGAAGGTGGAAGTAGCGAATCGTGTAAGGAAGCTAAAAATGAAAAATTACAACCCCCGAGAATAATAAGTTGGAATCCAACGGCTATGGAAAATATGGGAGTCGATGTTTTGCTACCATGTGCAGCCGTTGGAAATCCAACACCGGAAATATATTGGCTGGACCAAGACAATAACGTTGTCAACAATTTCCGGTTTAGAGTAAGTCAAAAAAAAACAAATCAATAATCCATTAAAATAAAAATAAAATACATATGTAACCTTTTTGTTTTTCATTTCCAGGTTTTAAACAATGGAGATTTAGCCATTTACCGGTTGGCATGGCCCGATATGGGTCAATATAAATGCGTAGCTGAAAATAGTTTGGGTAGAGATTCCGTGACGACATTTATTTATCCAGTCCTGGTAAGTTTTCTTTTATCCAAACTTTAAAAGTTTTCTGTTGCATGCAAAACGTCATCACCAAACCAATTTAAATTTTCTTCTTCTTCTTCTTCGGAATTAAACATACAAAAAAAACGTTAAATATTATTATTCTCTCACGTTTTTTTAAAAACACTTTCGAATATATAAAATGACCTCAAGTAACCTTTTTTTTTATATTAATAAATCATAATTTCATCATAATCTTCTTCGAATTCATTAAATTTTCTAAAATAAAGAAAAAAAAAATTATAAATTATCCTCAGAAAACGTGAATGGTTTTCCCGCCTCTTTTCCTCCTCTTACTCCTTCCCACTCCCCAATCCCCTCCCCCAATCTCTCTCTCCTGCATTTAATTATAAATTATAATTTAATTAATTCCACGTACGAATAAAAAAAAAATTTCAAAATAAAATGACGGATTACTTTTCCTTTTTTCCTTTGGCGGTTTCGTATGATTTTCTACCATTTTCCCTCCAGTTTTCCTCCAATCTTCCATTCATGATTTTATTACCTTAATGAAAATAAATTAATTTAATTAAATGGCGACTCGTTCATTTCTCTCTTTTTTTTTTTTTTTTTAAAAAATCCCGCTTTAATCCTTTTTCCCTTCTTCTCTACCTCCTCCTCTTCCCTTCCCCTCCCCTCCCTCCTTCGTTAAATAAAAATGAATGAGTCGAATTTATATAAATAAATACATATACATAAAAATTATAACTTAAACGTTACGACAACAATTTTTTTTAAAATTATTATTATTATTATTATTATCGTTAAAAAAAAAGCGGGAAAACAAACGATTTCGTATAAAATGTCGTTTGTTTGTTTCTTCGTTTGTTTTTTTTTTTTTAACGATCCGTTATTTTTACGCACACAAAAAAATAAGAAGAAGAAGAAGAAAAATACAAAAACTAAAAAGAGAGAGAAAGAGAGCGAGAGAGAGAGAGAGAGAGAGAGAGAGGGGGGGGGGGAGAGAAAGAGAAAAATTAAAATTTTAAGTGTTGGAAACGTGAATACCCTGAAAATTGCATTAAAAAAAAAAAAAAAAAAAAAAAAAAAAACAAAGACAGAAAATACGTATTCACGTTTTTTTTCTCTCTCCCTCCTCCCCCCCTCTCTCTCTTTCTTTTATAACCGTCGTATCATTTCCTACGTAAAAATAAATTAACAATCAATTTATCACACACATATATATATATATATAATTAATTACTTAAAAAAAAAAAACAACAAGTTAAAAACTAATAATAATAATAATAATTTAATCGGAATAAAAATAAAAAATCATATTTATTATCATTATTATTACGATTATTGTGAATAACAAAAAAAATGCATGTGTGTGTATATGTAATAATATGAAAATGTATTTTATTATCATGAGACGATGACGACACCATTTAATATTATCATTATTATTTATTTATTCGTTTCAGAATGAAAAAAAGAAGAAGTAGAAAAAACAAAATGCAAAAAACCAAAAACAGAAAAAAAACGGAATGAATGTGCGTGTGAAATAAAAGAGAAACAAGGAGGGAAGAGAGAGCGAGAGAGATAGAGAAACAACACATTGCACGCACGCACGCACGCACGCACGCACCCACACTTTAAAGGAAACATACAGAAATTACGCAGG